ATCTCGAGGCGGCTTGCCTGTTCGGTGGTACGGCTGGAGAACCACCGCAGGCGCGCGTGGAGGCAGTCACTGTCATCAGCCCGAGATGGAAAGCGTCCACTGGCCAGGATGCAGCTCTGGAGTAAGTGTCGTCCGGCACAATGTCAGCGGGCCTTTTTCGCTGACGCTCCGAGCGGTCATCATTGCAGGGCCGCTTTGAAGAACATACCATTCCGTCACCATGCCGCTGCTAGCATTGCCATGTCAGAAGCGTCAGCCGAAGAACTTTCAGCGGCCAATGTGGAACCTCTTGCGGATCTCACCCACACAACGGACCAACTTGGTTTGTTGTTGCAGAACATGCCGCTCAAGTCAAGCCCCAAAAATATAGCTTTACGTCGGAGCACCATCGGAACATCTCAGCAGCCTGTCTCTCCTTTCTTGTCCAAGGCGCGGTCCGAATGGCGTCAGAAGATCCTCCTGCAGCAGTTCCCGGTCATTGATGCTTCGGATCGCGCGCGCGCTTTTACGCTGTATCAGCCCAGCGACGTTGACGTGATCGCTCATTGGGCGATTGGAGAACGTCGTGGACAGGCATTCATTTTTGGGCTACAGCTTGGACCTGCGCACGACCAGCTGTTGGAGCTCACTAGCGAGTCGAGTGGCAGAGTCATCTACGCCGAAGCTGCCAAAGAGAGGGTGAGTCTGCCTTCTGAACTTGAGAGCGACTTTGAATGGGCCCGATTGACTGACTTTCGCTGTGGTGGTTCGCTGCTGCTCAGGCCACGCTGCTTGCAGCGATCCTTCGCAGCCGGCTGCACGTGGAGGAGGACCCGGTAGTCGTCGAAGTGCAAAGCGAAGATCAGATCTCGCATGATTTTGCTAAAAGGCAAGTGACTCCAAGATCAACGGAAGACCTCTGATCTCTGCTGACGCAGTCATTTGCGCCTTATGCAGCCGTCTCCGACACCTGGCTGTGGTCGATGTACGGAACCTTTCAACGGTTAGGACTGTTGAATACAGTTTGAACCTGGAAAATGGCCCGGTCGAGAGATTGACTGCGTGAGTGATTAAGGCCGTATCTGCTGCAAATATGTTTACCCTTGTTGACTTTTCATTATCCTTGGCGTCAGACCTGGAACCACGCCCGCTTCGTGGGTAGGACGCATGACGCAGCGCGGAAAGCTACCTCCCCGAGGACGAGCACGGTTCGAGGCCTACGCCATGCTTCCTTCACCAGGAGCTTATGAGCTCGGCGCTTGGGCTCTTCGTTCTCGCACGCTCACATCGGCGCAAGAGGATGCAAAAGTGGTCGGCACTTTTTCACAGAGCGAATGGGTCGGTATCACTGTTCAGGCTGGTCATGCTGTTGACGATGCGCGCGATCTTTCAGTCGAGCAAACATCCGTACTGGCGGCTGCGGACGCATTTGGGCCTGCCCTCGTCAACTCCCACTAACAAGGAGTGTATGTATTTTCATGGAGCAATTGCAGACTTCTTGGCGAGCACTTTCATCGGTTTCCGTTGTTGCCAATCGGAAAGAAGACCGCATCTTGGGACGATGGGCAGTTAGCTGCCAGCCACTTTGCAAGCGGTGTGCACGGCGGCAATTTGACGTAAACGCGTGAATCGTGGCGGGTCAGCGCATGCCTTGAACTGTACTCAGGAGTCTGGGTCATGGTACCGAATGTCCAAAAGACGACTTGACTGCGTGAAGATGCGAAGTGCTTAGTGAGGACAGAGTCAAAAAGTCAGAACTCGAGATCAAGAATCAAGAGTCTTGATGAGTTTTGAGGCTTGAGTCGTCGAGGCAAGACACCGATCACGTGGTCTGACTTGGACCATCAGCACACAGTCAGAGTCAAGGCGGTTGCGTCACTAAGCATGCAGCTATAAGATGCGCGTGTGGACAGCAGGCTACCACCCACGCAAAGCCAAACGGCGCACAATCTGCAGGGACCTCCTCTTTGCTTTGTGCTGCTCAGCATCGGGCACATCACGAGAGCACTAACTAGCTCGCCGATGCTGCCGCCCAAGAATGAATGCAGGCCTCTCGCAGAGGTAAAAGATCTCATCAGACCGCATTCATCGCGCACTCACATTCACAAGTGACAACAAAGCAGCATCAGACCATGACCCGCACAGGCTGTGAGGCTCGCTGAGACCGCAGTGCGCTCACCGCAATCTGCACAAACGCTCGCGACTGCCGTCAGTTGCAATTGCAGCACCCTCTCAGCCTCTTTTCACACCGGCGGCCTGACGCTGACCTGTGCACGAGACTCTACGCCGCTCGACCTTTGCGGCGTCAGGAGGCCCAAGGAGAACAGGCCATAACACCTTTGCGGAGCCTTTACATCCACTCCTCTGAAATCTAAGCAGCCGCCCGCAATGCTCGAAGGCGTTCTAGCATCTGTCCTGAACCGCTTTCTGGCCTCGTATGTGGACGGTTTGAACACGAGCCAGCTCAATGTCGGCATCTGGAGTGGTGATGTCAAGCTCCGAAAGTGAGTACAGTGTCATTCCCACTGACTGAGTCGCGGTCGTGTTGACGAGGACCCTCCGCATACAGCCTGAGACTCAAGACATCTGCTCTCGACAAGTTTCGCCTTCCCATCGACGTCAAAGAAGGCTTCCTCGGAGATCTCACATTATCGATACCTTGGTCGAACTTGAAAGGCAAGCCCGTCCGCGTCCTAGTTGAGAATGTGTACCTCTTGGCTGCTCCGAAGGAAGCCAGTGTCGAGATTGATGATGAGGAAGAGGAAGAACGGGCCCAAGCGGCTAAACTTGAGAAGCTGGCGAACGCGGAGCTGTTGGGTACGTCGAGCTCCATAGGCGTAAGCGAAGGTGAGCACACGCATGCTTTCTGTGCCAGCAATCCCTGCAACGTTAGCTCACATTCAGAATCCCTTGCACAGCGGACGCACAAAAGAATGAGTCCTTTACAAGTTCTCTGGTCACGAAGATCGTGGACAATCTACAGATCACTGTCCGGAACATTCATGTGCGGTACGAGGACAAGCTGAGCAATCCCGAACATCCGTTCTCAGCTGGTTTGACATTGGCCGAGTTCTCAGCAGTTTCAACAGATGCCGACTGGAATCCAACCTTCATTCAGAATAGCCAGGAAGGTATTCACAAACTCGCTCGATTGGAATCGCTGGCTGCGTACTGGGACACAGATGCCGAATCTCTTGCGGGCTATGAAGTCTCAGAGGCCCAACAACGCTTTGCTTCCCTTATTGCACGGGATGGGCAGATCCCACGGCACCAGTACATTCTGCACCCTGTTACTGGTGCAGGAAGGCTAGTCATGAGGCGAAAGATGACCCCAGATATTGCCAAGATGGATGCGCAGCTCTTGTTCGACTCCCTTGGCTTCGCCTTGGATGACGAGCAATATCGAGACGTCATCTCAGTGGCGGACTTGTTCCATTTCTACACGCGACAGGCGCAGTACCGGCGATACCGGCCCGCGGCTGCTGAGCTCGAGGAGAACAAGCCTCGGGCCATGCTGCGCTTCGCCGCAAGAGCTATCCTGAACGAGGTTCACGAGAAGCGTAAAGTCTGGACGTGGGCCTATTTTGCACAGCGGAGGGATGAACGGAAAGAGTACGTTGAATTGTTCAAGCAAAAGGAGCAGGCTGTTCATCAGGCCAATCAAAATCAAGGGGGAGCTCAGATTGCATCGAGCGAAGAGGGCACTAGACTTCACGAGCTCGAGCGGACACTGAGTTACAAGGACATCAGGTTCTACCGCTCCATCGCCAGGCACGAGCTCCGCAAAGAGCGTACCAATAAGCGAAAGGAAGAGCTTGCAAGCGGCAATCGCGCCGATAGCAGCGGATCCACAGCGCAGGCATCTGGCGCAGGCGCCGCTGCCGGAGGCGGGTGGCTCGAATGGATATGGGGAGGAGGCGCCAACAAGGCAGGCAGCGAGCATGATTCGGGCGTGCTTAACGAAGAGCAACGGAAAGAGCTGTACGATGCCATTGAATGGGACGAAAGTGCGAACAATCAAGCTCTCACATCTGCTGTTGACTTGCCTGGAGATGCCCTTCAGCTACGGCTCACCACCAAGCTACAAACAGGATCTCTTTCCTTGAAAGATCACTCTCGTGGCTCTGAGATCGTATCATTGGTCTTCGACAGTCTCCAAGCCGATGTCGATCAGCGCGTTGACAACCTTGAGGCTGCCGTGTCTCTCGGCGGTCTGCGTGTGTACGACAACACGACAGCCAATTCGTTATACCCCCAGATTGTGCGCGTCAAGGACGACGAGATCAACCGGATCACTCAGGTAGAAGGTCGGACCAACAGCAGAGGTCAAAGCACGGAGCAAGCGGAGCACGAGGTTGGCCTCGAGTCCGACCCTGACAATCCTTTCTTCTATCTCAAATTCGAAAACAAGCCATTGGACCGAAGAGCAGACAGTGCACTCGCGGTCAAGATGAGAAGCATGGAAATCATCTACCACCGCGGGTACGTGGAGAATATTGTGCGATTTTTCAAGCCACCTGAGAGCGAGCTTGAATTGATTGGGGCTTTGATAGACGTAGCTAGTGAGACCATCGAGGGCATCCGAAAGGAAACGAGAGCTGGGCTTGAGAACGCGCTGGAGAATCACAAGACAATAGATCTCACCCTCGACATCAAGGCGCCCATCATCATCGTCCCGCAAGACGTCACGCAGAGGCAGTGTCAACACATCGTGCTCGACGCTGGTCATATTGGAATGCGGTCCGTGTTCGCGGATCAAAGTGCACTCGATACAGTGAAGTCAAAACAGAGCAAGCAGTACACGGAAGACGACTATCGACAGCTCGAGGACCTCATGTACGATCGCTTCTTTGTCAAGCTCGAGTCCATGCAGCTCGTCATGGGCCCGGATATCGAATCCTGCTTGTCCAGTCTAACGGCTGGCTCGGAGCATCATGCGAGCCATTTGGTAGAGCGCATCAATTTGGATTTCACGCTACATAACTCCATCTTGCCGAAGGCGCCCAACTTGACGAAGTTCAAGATCACGGGTCATCTACCTAGCCTTCGCGTCAACTTCTCTGACAACAAATACAAGGCTTTGATGTCGGTCATTGACGTTGCCATTCCGAAGCTTGATGATGATCCTGTGGATGAGGAGCCGGGTAAACTGGACGCATTGGGCGGCCGAAGCAACGTGCTGGGCGACGCCGAGGTGTCGCAGATTCAAACCTCAAGAAACCGCCAGCCGAGTGCAGACGATGGACGTGGAAGTGAGAGCGGACTTGATCTCAACAAGGTTCGCAGGCAGCGCATCGCAAGTCAAATGAGAGGCGGCGACGATTATCTGGTTGAGCAAGAAGATGACGACGCGGAAGGTGAAGCTGAATTTGAGGATGCTGAAGATGACACTGCGGATGTGAGTTGTAGATGAGATTAAGCTTGAGCGCTATCGATCGCTAACGCCTCCCTTTCCAGCGCATCAACGCACATCAACGCACGTTTGAGCTGCACTTTGTCGTGGACAGCTTGCAAGGCAGCATCTATAAATCCAGCACAGATCCAAGCAAGCCCGATAGGTTGCTCGTCGAGGCTGTGTTCGAAGGCTTCCTGCTTCACTTGGCGGTATTTCCATATCACATGGAAATCGACGTCGGCTTACGTAGTCTCGAATTGGAGGATAAAATCGTCGACCAGGGCGCCGTCTTCAAGCACCTCATCACATCAAAGGCTGTCGATACTCGTGGCAAGCCTGCCACCGCTTCAAAAGCATCGACTCCCGATAAAGACCTCGTGCGTGTCAAGTACGTTCGGGTCCAGACCGATTCGCCAGAGTTTCAAAGCGTCTACGAAGGTATCGATCAGTCGATCCATGTCGAGTTGTCGACGATCAACATCACACTAACACGTGTTTCGGTACTCGTTGTGTACGATTGGATCATGAACACGTTTGTCCCGCCGGAGTCTGCCGCGCCGCCACCGGAAAAGTTGATTGATGTTCCACAGGGCGAAGACGAAAATTCCAAGACGGGCCGCAAGGAGATCGCTGAGCCTGTGACACGCAAGGAAATGCTTCGCGTCCGTGTCAAACTCACGTCGATCGTCCTGCGCATCAACAACGATGGCCAGCTACTCGCGACCCTGACGCTGTCTACCGCCGAAGTCGCGGTCCTTCTAAGAGGCAATTCGATTCGCGTGGCTGCGCGTCTTGGGTCCCTACTTTTGGTCGACAATGTCCAGCGCGAGGACTCTGACAGCGGTCGCAAGAAGAATCCTGGAGAGTTCAAGAAGCTGCTCTCTATCGACGGAGATGAGCTCGCAGACTTCACTTATGAGACTTTCGACGAGCAGGACAAGCGGACGTATCCGGGCTACGATACTTCGATCTGGTTGCGTACTGGCTCTTTGAAGTTTACATTTGCCGAAGAGCCAGTGCGGGACCTGCTGAACTTTTTCAACAAATTTGCTAGGATGAAGGCTGTGTACGACGCTGCAACACAAGCGGCTAGCGCACAAGCCACACAACTACAAGAGCGCGTTGCAAAGTTGCACTACGACGTTGTCATAAAGACGCCCATTGTCAACGTACGACGCGGTCCAGGCAGCTCTGACGTACTGACTGCCAACTTAGGAGAGATTTACGCCTACAATACCTTTTCTGAGCCGGACGATGATCATGTCACGACCAAGATCGAAGCAGGCCTTCGACATATCCGCCTGGCGAGCAGAATGACTTATGGCTCTCAAGAGTACAAGGTCCAGATGATCGACGACGTCAATATCTCTGTGGACGTCACACAGCGAGATCACCTTGGACACGCAGCATCCACAGGCGAAAAAATTAGCTCCAGTGCAGCCCACAATTTGCCTGACATGTCCATCAATGCCCGAATGTCCGACGTTCAGATTAAACTCACGGAGCAGCAGTACGGCTTCATCATGGCGCTCACCCAAGCGATTCCCCGAGCTTTCGTACTTGACGAGGATGACGATGCTGACAACGATCAAGCCGTATCGTCAATACCATCGACGTCAGCCAGCAGCGTTCGCCAAGTGCCAGCAGCATCAACTCCAAGCTCCGCCGGCCCTGGCGTCGACATGCTGCCAGAATTGGGCGTCGTAGCTCATGATTCTGATGGAAATGGTGTTCTGCTTCGCACTAGCCTTGACATGCTTTTCAATGTGCGCGCCATCGGACTCGAGTTGTTTAGCTCTGGAGCGACTGCTCAAGACAAATTGCAAAACGCAAGTCTCGCAAAGTTCTCGCTGAATCAGTCAGCTGTCAAGCTCAAGATGCTCTCTGACTCCTCACTTGAGGCCGAAGTCGCGCTCAAATCTTTCACCGTGTCCGACACAAGGCCTGACAAAGGCACCAAGTTCCGCGAGATTATTCCAGCTGTCCGACATGACGGTCACCAGTTCATGCTGTCCTACACGCAAAGCGGCAATCAGTCCGATAGAGGAGCTCTTGCTTTGGTTACCGTCGACAGTCCTAAAATCATCTTCTCCTTGGATCCCCTCTTCGCGCTCGTAAATTTTTTCGCGAGCGCTTTCAACGAAGCCGACACGCAAATGCAGGACGACATCGCGGGCGCCAATAGCGACGCCAACAGCACGCGTAAAAGCACATCAGCGGTCAGAAGCCAACAGAGGGCACCTACCAAGAAGAGCGCGCCTTCCAAGACTGCGCAACAGTCGGCATCGGGAGGGTCAGAGCCAGCTGATGGAGGCTCAGCAATCGCATTCCGGGTCAATGTGGTGGACCCTACAATTATTCTGCTCGCTGCACCGGAGCGCACAGACTCGGAAGCAATTGTCCTGTCCATTCGGCAGATTTTAGTTTCTCAGCAAGCCATCTTGGCCTTGAAGGTTGACCAATTTGGGATGTTCATGTGCCGCATGGACCGTCCAAAGGATTCCCTTCGATTCCTCGATAACTTCGACCTTACGCTCTCTCTCGACAGTCGAGGTTCTGGCTCCCGCCAAGTCACCAGTATTGAAGTTGACGTCGAGCCCCTCGTGCTTCGCGTCTCCTTCAAAGACATCATGCTCATTTCGAGTGTCGTAAACAAAGCTATTGAGCTCTCGAATCAAAGCAACAGCTTTGGTGCAAATCAGGATGGAAAGCAGAATCCCGCCTCCCGCAGAGAAGCTTCTGCGATGAGCGGGAATATCTCGCTGAACGAGTCGGCGAAAGCTGTTGCGCCTCGAGGGCGTTCCAGCAGCGCCTCGGCTCGCAATAGTTCCCACGACGACGAGCGGCCCTCCGAGGCCGAATTGATCGTTGCCAAAGAGCTTCTCAAAGCAGATGTGGCAGGCTTGCAGCTGATTCTCATAGGTGATATGCACAGTCTACCCATGCTGGACCTCAATCTCCGCAGATTCTCGGTCAATGTCCGCGATTGGTCTTCAGAGATGCGGGTCAGGACTTCGATCGGCATGCACGTCAACTATAACAACCTGTCACGGTCTCATTGGGAACCCTTGATAGATCCTTGGGTCGTCGACTTTGGCATGGACTCAGTCAATGGCACCACTACGATGACCGTGTCGTCGAAGAAGCGTCTCGAGGTCAATGTCACTACGACGCTGATCGAGACCGCAATGACCACTGCGGCCATCATGGCGGAGGAACAGAAGAAGCTCAGCAACGCATCGGCCAGCGCAAATACGGCGACCACGAGCGTCTTGAGAGAAAGCCAAGCGCCGTTCCTCGTTCGGAATCGGACGGGCTATCGCATCACGCTGTGGGCGGAGCACGAGGATCGCCGTGTCAAAGCTTCTCCACACCGCCTAGAAGATGGTTCAGATACTCCGTGGCGGTTTGACGACTGGAAGGCGATGCGAGAGCACGTCATGCAGTCTGGCGGCAACATGCTCTCTCTGCAAGTGGAAGGCATGCCCTGGGAGCGTATCAAGCACGTTAGTGTCGATCGGGAGGGCGAATCACTGATTACCCTGCATCCAAAGGTCGAAAAGGTAGCACATCGCATGCTCTGTGACGTCAAGCTCGTGGATAATGTCAAGGTCGTCACCTTCCGCTCAAGTTTCAACATTGAGAATCGGACAATGGTGCCCGTAGAGTTTGTTGTGCTAGGATCCGATGGAGAGCCAACTCAGAATGGAATCCGGCAGCTTGCTCCTGGTGAAGATTGCCCTGTTCCCATAGAGGCAGCGTATCACAATCGCATCCGTCTGCGCCCGGATCCCGGCTTTGAGTACGGGTGGTCAAACGAAGCGTTCAATTGGCAAGAACTGCTCAAGAAGTCTACTCGGGTAGTGAGCTGCGACGCTCTGCACGAGGGTGAGGCTCCGTTCCGCTTCCAGTGCTTTGCGATCACCGAAAAGCAGGATGCATTGTCCCGGGCGTACCCTCGCCTGACGCTGCGTCTTAGAGCACCGGTCGAGGTGGAGAACTTGCTGCCGTACGACATCCAGTACAGAATCTTCGACCGCAATTTGAACCACAATTGGAACAGCTTCCTACGCAAAGGAGGCACTTCCCCTATCCACGTAGTCGAGACCTCACACCTTCTGCTGCTAAGTGTGGACATCCAGTCTTCCGTATTCTCTCCAAGCGAATTCGCCATCATTGCGACGGATAACGGGGACGACTTCCCAGTTGAGAAGACGATGACTCTGGCCGATGCCGAGAATTTGAAACTCAATTTGCGCCTCCACTACTCGAAGTATCCTGACTCTGGCGGAGCCTTCAAAGTCTCCATATTTGCACCGTACATCTTCATCAATCAGACGGGCCTACCATTCGCTCTCAAGACCAAAAGCTGGATTGGCGGGGCAAAGCTGGTTGCTGGGCAAGAGCAAGGAGAAGTGTCAGAGGTGCGAAAGCACCCCGAACCTTTCCTGTTCTCTCACAATTCGAATGACCGTCGAAATCGAGTTCTACTTCGAGTGGGCGACTCTTCCTGGTCAAAGCCACTTTCATTCGAAGCTATAGGCTCTGATAGCGAGGTGGTCATCCCTTCAGCGTCTCGTAACGAAGAAATCCATTTGGGACTCAATATCCAGGACGGGCTCGGCAAGTTCAAGCTGAGCAAGGTTGTTAAGCTCACACCGCGGTACTTGGTGCGCAACAATCTTGGCGAAACCCTCAATCTGCGTGAGCCTGGAGCAGCAGACTTCGTTACAGTTGAGGCTGGTCGGCGAGTGCCTCTCCACTTCTTGCGTGTTGGAGCGTCGAAGCAAATGACTCTTGCCTATCCGGGTCTCAACAACAAGTGGACTGCTCCATTCAACATTGAGGACATCGGCAGCGTGCACTTGCGCATCGCCAAGGCCGGTGACCACCAACACCTCATAAAGGCCGAAGTTATGCTCGAGGGCCCGACCATCTTCATCTCGCTCTCGATGGAACGCGGGCAATGGCCTTTCATGCTTCGAAATGAGTCTGATCACGTTGTGACATTCATGCAAGCTACCGAGCGCTCCGATGAGCGCAACGGGGATAAGGACGAGGCAGTGGGCAAGCGCTATGAGCTGAAACCACGCTCCAAGATGAAGTACGCATGGGATTTCCCGGCCCTCCCGAACAAGCTCATCAAGCTTGTTGCTAATGGGCGAGAACGCAGCGTAAATGTTCTGGAGATTGGTACCCTCATGCCCTTCAAGTTCCCAAGCACTGATGGACGCGGCAGCCGGGTTATTGCACTTGACGTTCGCGCAGATGGCGCGACGCAGACGCTAGTCTTAAGCCCCTGGACCGAAGAGAAGAGCGGCTTCCGCCTGAAGCGGCAGAATTCTACGTTCTCCCGCACCGACACAGTCAGCAGCACAGGTCGCGATGGAGGCTTTGAAGCTGTCGACGTAGACAGTAGGATCACTATGGTCTTTAATGTTGAATTCGAAGGTGTCGGCATTTCGGTCATCAATCGATCGGTGCAAGAACTTGCATATGTCTCCTTCCGCGGCTTGGAATTCCATTACAACCAGTCGGAGAAAGCAACTTCTGTTGGAGTGGTATGCAAGTGGATACAGGTGGATAATCAGCTTTTCGGCGGCTTGTTCCCAATCGTTCTGTATCCTGCGGTGCTGCGCGAAGGCAAGGAGCTAGATCAACATCCAGTTCTGCAGCTCTCGTGGATTCAAAGCACGGATGAAACGCATGGTGCGAGCATCGTCAAGTATGCAAGTGTGCTGCTTCAAGAGATCAGCGTCGAGCTCGACGAGGACTTTCTGTTCGCCCTCATCGATTTCTCCAAGCTGCAGGGTGCTTCATGGCAAAAAGATGCTGCTCTTGAGAGCGACTTTGTCGAGGACCCTCGAGAGGTCCCCGAGCCCTCTGGAACGCTTCACCAGCCTGCCGACACGTACTTTGAGGTGCTTCACCTGCAGCCGCTCGCCATCAACTTGAGCTTCATGCGCACTGACATGCGCACTGACCGCTCTGATGAAAGAGTGGGTAGTCGCAATCCGGTGCTGTTTGCCATCAACGCTATCTCTATGGCCCTCGGGAACCTCAATGAGGCGCCAATTCGACTCAACGCCCTCGTGTTGGAGAATGTGCGCCTGTCCTCCGCGGATCTCCAAGCTCGTCTGACGACGCACTACACGCAAGCCTTAGTCGGCCAGCTCTACCGCGTTATGGGATCGCTTGACGTCATTGGCAATCCGGTTGGGCTGTTCAACAACGTTTCGGGTGGGTTCGTTGCCCTGTGGTACGAGCCCTATCAAGGTCTTGTCATGCACGGCAATCGAGAACTCGGAATGGGGCTCGTACGAGGCGCTTCGGCTTTCGCAAAAGGAGCCGTCTTTGGTGTGTCCGACTCCATGAGCAAGGTGACAGGCTCGATAGGAAAGGGCCTCGCTGCTGCTACGATGGATCCAGAATTCCAGAGTCGGCGCCGAATGACGCGCTTCCGCAATAAGCCCAAACATGCGCTCTACGGTCTGTCATCCGGCGCAAGCGCCTTCTTCACGAGCATTGCCAGCGGTCTTAGCGGTGTGGCGCTCAAACCTATCGAGGGTGCTGAGCGTGGTGGAGCAGTAGGATTTGCACGTGGCTTGCTAGCTGGCTCTGTCGGGCTTGTGACTAAGCCGCTCGTTGGTACATTCGATTTTGCTTCGTGAGTTCTGCGTTGCTCCACATCCTTCAAAGACGTGCGCTCACCTGAAAATTACGCTTTACAGCAACCTGACTGAAGGTGTCCGGAATACTACTGTGGTCTTCGACCAGAACGAGATCGACCGCGTTCGCTTGCCGCGGTTCATTGCAGCTGATGGCATCGTGAGTCACCACAGTGCCAGCAAGATGCTCATCCCTGTGCACTTGAGCTCACCCAGGCTCGACCGCTTCCCTTTGCAGGTTCGTCCTTATTCCGCCAGGGAAGCGCTTGGCCAGACCTGGCTGCGCTGTGTCGACGATGGGAGACTCTACCGGGAGTCTTATGTTTGCCATGTCGACCTAGGTCAGGCACAGGGTCAAGCCAACCCGCAGCCAGAGAGGGACGGCGTTATCATGGTCACACTGACACGTATCTGTGAGTCGCCAGGCCATTTGTGGGTCCTTTAGCTGGATTTGTAGCTGATCTTGGCGAGCTTTATGGACCACGTAGTGTTCATTCGAACGCTCCGCATGAAAGTGGCGTGGGAGGTGCCTCTTAGCGACCTGGCCAGCATATCTCTCGAGTCTGACGGAATTGCACTGACGCTGCGCAACAATGTGGCTGGTCCTTTCCTAAAGTTGCCCGAAGCGGGTAAGTAGGCCCTTGGTGTGTAATGCGAGCTAATGCAAACGTTTCACTTACGCCTGCACCTTCACAATCCCGTGACGTTGTCCTAGGCGCCCGTTCATTCCTCTTCTCGTCCATCTCGAGGGTTGTCAGAGCGTACAATGCTCAGCACCAAAGCTGAATGGCAGTTCCGTCATTGCGCGCGATACTTTGATCCATTGTACATGTTAGTAGTCTATCCTTGCCTCGGAATCGCTCGGCCATACCAGCATTCGTTCAGTGCTTGCCCTCGCCGATTGGCAGATTGAGACGTCCAGCAGTGAGAAGAGCTGTTCGAGGGCATTCCAGCAATGATGGGTTCGAATCGCAATGTGGATCTTCGCGGTGCGGAATGGAGCCCATACTTTGTGTGCACTAGTCGCTCGCTACGTGTGTGGCGAGGACTCGAGCGCCTGATGACCCTACTTGCGTCGTCGAGGACGTCAAAAGGAAGGTGTCACTTGCGCTCGAGGATCGTCAATTTGAATGTCGGTATAGTCGATGATGATGCGCTGCGAGATCGCTACAATCTGAATGAATGCCGCCACGACGCGTCGCGTGATGCGCGGCGGCTGGCGGGTAAATTGATACCTACCTATATGTATGTACACAATATACCGAAGTATGTCTCGTTCTCGTTCTCAGGCTCGTACCATGCAAACGCTCCATTCGCGGATGTGCTGCGCGTGGCATTGTGTCATTGGAGAGCAATCTACAGCTGCTTGTTGCAGCTCTGAAGGAGCGCTTTCGCACACCTCGCTGCCGACTTCTCGGCCCTTGCCCTTCCCGCTAGGCCTTCTCACCGAGCTCATCCTCGGCAGGCATCCTTCAAGTCTGGCGTCAACGTCGATTCACAGCGTGCGTCCAAATGTCGCGCGCCTCTTCCTCGCCCGACGAGCTGGACGCAGCACACCCACGAGCAAACACACACAGGGCTTCTGTCAGGTCCACATCGAGCCCGGGCGAATCGCCTGTCGTGGAGATCTCTTCGGTGCTGAGAACACGATCAGATCGAGACGGCAGTGCCGGGCTGATGAGACCTCCTGCGCTTCCGAGACACATCCAACAAGCTAGGACGGACGAGAGGATGAGCAAGAGGAGGAGATATGGACAGGCCAGAAGATCTGGTCCAGGAGATGAGCAGGAAGAATGGCATCAAGGCTTGACAGATGCTGCTGCTGCCACTGCTTCTTCTTCTAGAATTCCAATGGGTCCACCCGCTTTACCTTCGCCATCTCCCAGACCTAGCCCAATGCCGCTCGAAAGTCCTGCCGTAAAGACGGAATACTCCACCCCTGTCCCTGGATCTGGCATCCTCTCGCCAGATCCTCCGCCCACAAACCGTCGATTGGATTTTCTTCGTGGCGGGTACCGATCAGGTCACACGAATGGAGCGATGCTCGACGGAGCGTCTTTGAGACATGCACTTGCGGAGTCTGTCGTGGCGGACGAGGAGGAGGAGGAGGAGGAAGAGCAGAGGGAGTCGAGAGAACCAGAGGAAGGGGAGAACAGTCCTTTGCTTGTCTTCCAATGCGACGCTTGCGGCGTGGTGCTGGGTGACAGCTTTTCTTGGGTTGCTGCTCAGAGGGAGCTTGGACTTTTGGTTTTGTCCTGTGAGTGGCGCGACTGAAAGCTCACGCAAAGCTCAGCATGTGGGACACAACGTGCTACAGGGTACAAGTCCTGCAGGCGACTGACGAGCTCCACTCAAACTGTTCCCTGCAGCTGCAACGGACGAAGTCGTCGTGGATAGGACTTTTGTCACCTCGACCGAAGGAGGGCTCGACGTTGGCTCGTGAGTAGCATTGAATGGGCTATTCAGGAAGCAGCATCTCCTGGACCGCTTGCTCACGCTGGAGTGCTGTCTTGAATGCGCAGAACCTACTCTTCGTTTACTTGTTCATGCGGAGCCGCGCTAGGGCGAATGTACAGGACCACCTCTCGAGCACTGGACGATCTTCGAGATGCGTATTCTTTTCAAGTAACTCAGGTTCGCGTGTAAGTAGAAGCCTGGCAGATCGCGTGTCTACAAGCACAGGTGCTCACGCCATGGACGTTGCTTGGCGCTTGGCAGCTATCAGCTCGGGACAGGCCAAGCCAACGCAGCTCGTGGACATCCTCAGCGAGACTCTGTCGAGGCAGAAGCAGGAGACTTGACCGCAGAGGCCCCTATGGCCGAGCCGCTCACAGCGCTAGCTTCGACACATGGAGAACAACTGGGACCAAACGAAGTCTTTGACACGGTCGAGAGAGGCGCAAATAGGCGATACGTGACTCCGGTAGTGACGGGTGCTGTTGCTGGCATCGATGGTCCCGCGGGGCATGGTCAAGCGCAAAGCGGTTTTTCAAGGACACCCGTGCCTCCCAGTCGCGACGATCAACGAGTGAGTTCAGACGTGATGAGCATTTGCATGAGTCCATTGCGTGCAGTCATCTCATCCGATTCGTGCCAGTCGAAGGCTTACCCCCCTCAAACACGTCCATTTGCTCAGATTCGAGTGCTTTTGATGGGTATAGGCGAGCGTCTGGTGAAGCTCGAGAGGCAGATGGAGTCTTTGCAACAAGCTCCCCCTCGCTCCGACTTCAGCACTGTTCAAGCTGCCTCTTCGGCAGCACGGCCAAAGGCCGGGACTATTCGCAGTCATTCCACATCCGAAGGCGAGGGAAGCGTGATGAGTGAGCAGGTTCAGGAGAATGGAGCACGGTGACAACGCCTTCAAAATGCACCAGTGTTACACCGCGCAACGGGCTGGTCGCGGCCAGACATGTCAAATTTGCGCGC